TGCTTTCAATTTCGCATTAACAAACTACTTTGTTTTCTTCTGCAGATTTGGATTCGCTGCCTGTTATACTTCAAAAGAAGTATGCGTTGTTACGTGACTTAGATAAGAGCTTACAGGGTAATTGTAATTTTATAATTCCATTTATTTATTTACTTCTCCAGTATGATGAAAGCATGTTTATTAAGAGTCTGTATTATTTTTCTTTAGTTTAATTTCAATGTGCTGTCAGTGAACAAAAAAATCTATTCACAGTTAAACAATAAGGAATCAAATCATGCCAAATACAAATGGTGAAGTAGCTGTAAAAATCAATAAACATGTCATACACGATAATTGTGATTGAATGAGAGAGATAATATGACTATTTACTTTTTTTTATCCCATGATGACAAGTAAAAACTCTATTTTTATGCAATGTTATGTAGGTTAGTGACTGTTATATCATTCTATGTAGCGTGAGACTTGGTGCACTTTTCTATTAGGATGTGATTATGGAGTGACAATAATATAGAACTTAGTAGGGAAAGAGAGTGAAACTGAAAGACATAACTAGAAGTGGGGAAAAGATAACAATATAGAGAGGATATTGGGAAAGAGGGAGAAACAAAGAGATCAAACCATATGTCTACCGCAAAATATCTACCTTATTTGTAAGCAGTTATCAGACGTAATTAACTAATATAATTTTCTTATTTATATTCACATATCAATATCCCTCCCCAAAACGAAGATTCTTGTCCTCAAAGGTTGTGCATTTCAAACATTGTGAATTGCTGCTGAAATTTGAATAGATGAACACATGTAGCCTCCTCATCAAGGAAACCACACTAGAGCACCAAATATTGTGATGATAAGATTTTTCTTCCTTCTCACATGTTTGTTGGGGATCTTTTCAGGAAGTATATACCATGCATGGCTGTAACTAGGCAACTGGACATACCTTTTCCAGAGGGGTCTTGACATCATTTTCATAAAGAGATATGAAATGTTGAGTTTATTTGAGAGTTTTTGGGAAGATGTAACTGTAGGAAACTGGACCTACTTTTTTCAGAATCCTATAGGGGCTCTAGTACCTAAGAGCAAGATTGAGCTTATGGGAGCCTTTGGAAAACATGGTGAGAAGAGGGGACAAGTAAGAAGAGTAGAACAGAATAGAGAAGAGACAGGGAAAGAGGAGAGAAACTGAGAGATCATAGAATTTATGAGAAGAGGGGACAAGTAAGAAGAGTAGAACAGAAAAGAGGTTCTGTACCCATCACAGTGTTGCACTATAATGCTGAGCCAAATGCTACAATTGTAATGTTAAACATTACTTGGACTAGAATTTTTAACTTTTAATCGTAATTTCAGTACATTATGATAAGTTTGTATTTTGAATTTTGAAGACATTAAAGTTCAATCAATGTTATTGGAGATCTCATATCACATCAACTAAAGAAACAACCAAATCATAGTGTATGAGTAGTGTAAATCTTATCTTGCAAGCCAGTTGTTGTGAAGTTGGGTTAAGTTTAAAATTCAATTTGTTAGGCCTATTATGTTATTTGCTAATACACCACCAACAAATAAATAATCCTATGTTCAGGATGTTCAATCCTTAGCATGAGTGGCTATGTTAGAGACCGTATACTGACTAAAGGCATAATAAAAAATATAGTATATAAGTGGATCCAAACCTTAATTTACAAACTCATTTGTGAGGTTGCGTTAAATCTAAAGTTCACTTTCTAGATTTAATATGTTATATGTTCATTATCTTGCTAGTGATTACCCATAAATATGATTAGGTATTAGATATTAAATTAAAGGTACAGTGTACTATTTTTCATATTTGTGATAAATATCTGCAATGCCCATTCCTGTATTAAGAAAGGAAAAAGAAGAAAAACGTAGTTGTGTGTCTGTTTCTACTCTTATCATATCACATCTTCGCTCTTGTTTAAGGTTTCCACTCAACATAAGCATTGTGGTGTGTGTAAACAGATATTCAAAGGCAAAATGAACAGCGTTGTGAACATGAAATTGAAGATATTAGGAGGGGAGTTAGGTCTGGAAACATTACACCTGATACTTCAGTTATTAGATTCTCTGATGAAGCGCTTGATGAGCAAAAGCATAGTATCAGGGTTGCTGATGAAAAAGTAGCCTTGGCTGTCCAGGCATATGATTTGGTAGTCCATATTTATCCTGTTATGTTCGTTTTTAAGACCTTCGATAATGCTTGTCTTTGAATATATCTGCCTGAACTTTGATATTGCGTTGTTTTGCTAATACCTACTGTGATATAACTGGATCAAAAAATTGTATTTCGGCAACCCTGCTATCTGTATCTTGCTTCTTTACTAGTCTCTTTTTTCTTTTCTGGGTTGTCAATAACTTTAGTTACACTCAGGTGTTTATTGTCTGTGAAACAGTTATACAAACATGGTTCGTGTATATTATTTTCCTTTTATTACACACTTCATTTGGCTTAACCTCTTGGGAGTTGGGTAAGGAGTATTATGGTTTGGTAAGAGAAATTCAGTTCAGGAATAGATATTGGGATAAATTTACGGTGAAGTTAATGAAAACTGGTTTCATGAATTTAGTGATTACATATTCATCATTTTGTTGCAGGTAGATACACACATACAACAACTTGATCAGTATCTTAAAAAGTTTGATGAGGAGCTTCGGCGTGGTACTGCACTTCCTAACTTTTCTGTGCAGCTCATAATATGCAGTGTAAATGTTGTTAATAGTCTTCTTTGTGTGATATAGTTGAAGTGTATGGTATTTGATAACAAACTAATTCTATTTGTGAATAAAACCTAATTTTATATGATTAATGACAGAAAGAGAAAATGCTGCAATAACTGGAGTGGCTGCTTCAGGTCCAGCGAGTAATACAAAATCTGGAAGGGGCAATGAAAGTGGGACTGGTAGAGGAGGGCGAAAAAAGTATGTAACTCTTCTAAAATCATTTTAATCGATCTTGTAATAGCTTTTAACTTATCCTTTATGCTTTTTGACTGTCACACACGTGCATTTCCTAAATAAGGAATCCTGCCTTTATGGTACTGTTAGGTGCTGAACTCCTGAATTACTTCTTGAGTACAAATGCGGGGTTTCCAGCTAACAATATCATACCTCAGTTCCCTCTAAAGTCTGTACCCAAATTAATATAAAATAACTTATAATTGTCACCTGACCCACGTCATAATAACCTGCCTAATCCAAAATTAATGCAAAAATAACTTCATATTACATATTATAAGTGCCTGAATCAGATTTGGTCCTATCAATGCCTCCCGGTAAACCACCTTGTCCTCAATGCCTAAAATAAGGAAATATTCCGTGCTGATCAGCACTGAATTTGTTTTCATCAATTCAAGACCTTTGAATTATCTTTCTCCCCCTAAAGTAAGTGCTCTTCCTTTTAGAACACCTCAAAGGATCCCAAATGGCTTGCCAATGGCAACATTGAAAACAATAACCTTCTTCCCTTTTTGAACATACTCTTGACAAGGAAAATGCTTACTGCCATGATACTAAACATCTTTTTTTCTTAATTATTAGCAACAGAGCCTGTACCTGCACCCAGTCTCTACTTTACGCTTGGTGAAGAATAGAATGTTGTTACTTGAATTCAATTTGTGATACCTAAAAGCATTGACTCAGATAAATTAATGAATAGGCAGATGTCAATTTTGCTGGAAGAAATGTATGATATTCTTCCGCTATCATCCCATGTTAATATGCTTTTTCTTCATTTAAAACTTTCAAGACATTTGACATTATGCTATACTTGTTATATGCTTGTAAATTGGTGTCCGGATACCTTACTATCATCAATCATAGCATCTCTATATGTAGTTAAACCTCAGTTGATCCTAAATACTTTTAGTATATGAAAGTTCTAGATCCTCAAATACTACTTTTTCTGTTACAAAACCCTAGAAGTAAAAAGTTTGGAAGCCAAATTTATTTTTATAATTCCTACTGACTAACTTCGTTAACAGCAGCAGGTTTCATTTTACTCTCAAAACAGCATTATCCTTAAAACATTTAATATATAAGCTTATGAAATGAGGAAGTGGTATTCATATTTAGCTTTCTCTTTTTTGTTCTCCTGTTTTCCCATTATGAAGAGCTTACAAAAAAAGTTACAAGGTGATACATATTTTGAATTAACTCTCCAGAACACGGCAAACCACATTGGTCACAGCGGCAGCAACAGAAGCACAAACCACAGCAAAGCCAACTGGCATGGATTTAGATTTGCCTGTTGATCCAAATGAACCCACATACTGCTTTTGTAATCAAGTTAGCTATGGAGCGATGGTGGCATGTGATAACCCCAACGTAGGTGTTTGTTTTCCCCGTATACATTTTTTGTCCATTTTACCTACATTGCTTACATATTTCCTTTATCTGTTCAAATTTACAGTGCAAAATAGAGTGGTTCCATTTCGGTTGTGTTGGTCTGAAAGAGCAACCAAAAGGAAAATGGTACTGTTCAAATTGCGCAGCAACCAAAAATCGGCGTAGAGGCAAATGAGGCTGAAAGAAGAATAAGAGTAATCTTAAAAAATGAACGTGTATATCTGAATATCTCTAGAAGGGCGTTATTTATTATTCGGGAAATTTTGAAATAGTTAATTTCCAACGACTTTTGTATGATGTATATGTTCTTGTATGAAGAATTAATTGGTTTGCACACATTTCAGAACTATCTGTTCCTTTATTGTTCTTCCCCAGGCCATGGATTCTGCACTAATGAACTAAACGAGAATAAACCAAATTATGATCATCAGGAGACAATTAAAGTGAAAACCGCAACCAGATGGGAAGAATCTCGGTTACTATTCGTTCAGACGACCATGGAGTATTTATAATATAAACTGATTTATCGAGGTACTTATTATGACTATCTATTCCAGTTTAGGATATTTGTGCTAAATATGATTGGATGATCAAGAATGCCTAAAACGGACAATGTTCCCGGAACAATACCTTGATTTAGGGGGTAAAAATTGTTCCAAATGTCTTATAATTTGAATTATTGTAGTTAACTTTTCTTACCTACATCTCGTTCTCTCACTATGATTACAGTGATGCCTTCACAAATAATTCAACTAAAAAAGGTTGTAAGTGTGGGTTCAGCACCAATTCTTGTCTTGAGGTGCAATCAAATCAATCGAAGCCGGTTAATAATCCATGCCACCCATTCCACCAGCCATAGCAGGAGTATCTTTATCATCCTTAGGAAGTTCAGACACGACAGCTTCAGTGGTTGTCATCAAAGATGATACACTGCAGAAAAAGGGTCATAAGCATTATGCAATCTACATAATAACAAAAAAAAAGGTACAGCTGGTGAGGCTATATAGATCACATGACACCATTATTAAAAACCCAGAGTTAGAAGGCCCGGATATAACGGTGTACATCACAAACAAATAGTTAAATACATCAATATCTACATAAAAAATTTCGGAATATCCTACCTTGCTGCATCAACCAGGGCTGTCCTAATCACCTTCAATGGGTCAATGATTCCGGATTTAACCATATCCACATACTCACCTAATTACGAAAAAGAAAAACAAATAAAAATACAACAGCAAACTCAGTTTCTCTTCTGACGAGGAATGAAATCACAACCACGGAAAATGAAATAAAAGAACACTAACCCTTGGCAGCATCATATCCTAGATCATGATCGTCTTGTTCCAATAGTTTGCCAACAACAACCGCACCCTCAACTCCCGCATTTGATGCAATTGTGAGCACAGGTGTCTGCATTATATTTGGGGACAAGCAACTTCAGTTATAAGCAATATAGATCTTAGGAATATCAATCATGTAGTATAATGAACACTAGGATGGGAAAAAACAAGGCTTAATACCTTTTTTGGTCTCTCGAAAGAGGGGAAATGTTCAGAATTGTACTACCTTTTTTAAAATGTTCAAAACGGTCCCAAACTTTGAAAAAATTGGTCAACTTAATCATTTTTTGTTACGACGTCAAATTTTTAACGGTGCAGCTGCCACCCTAGACAAAAGTTAATAACGTGTACAATTTCTCTGACTGCGTGGCAACCCTAGCTTCCTTGTGTCGCCAGCACCATTAGCAATCGTAGGCCGCCATCATCTACCCTGCCATCTTGCCGCAACCTCGCCTCACGTTTCAGGCTCCCTAAAGCCGTGATTTAGAAACCATGGTTGCGCGATCAGGATTACAATTTGGATATGGAATCTATGTCTGGATTTATTTTCTTGCAGGTGCTCACGGTTTGCGAAGGTGGAGAAACCATGGTGTGCAGGTTGCAATATGGAGGTGCGAAGTGATGGTTCTACCGTGCGAAGAAGATGATGAACATTGGCCATGGTGGGTTTCTATCGCAGTGGGAGATGGTGCAAATTAGGTTTGGTGGAGGCGTTGATGGCTAGCTCAAGGTTGGGCGAAACTCACGAGGAGATGAATTGAAGAGCTGTGACGGTGATTTAGGTTTCAAAAGATTTTTGGAATTGAGAATTTCTTTATTTGGGTTTTTACAGGTGTGTGCGAGAGAGTGCTCTTACAATGGTCATGGTGGATGGCGGTCCTTGCAGCTCTACGACGACCTGAAAAGTGTCTCATGGTGGAGATGGAAGTCGAGGAAGCTGCTGAAGATGATGATAGAAGACTCGCGACTTTGGCGTTCGCGTTCTGTATTGGTGACTGTGGTGGCTACCGATGGCGAGCTGGTGTTGGGTGATGGCGAGGTTGCGGCAAGACAACAGGGTGACTGACGGCGGCCTACGGTTGCCCATGGTGTTGGCGGCACAAGGAAGCTAGGGTTTGGGAATTAGGGTTGCCACGCAATCAGATAAACTGGACACATCATTAACTTTTGTCCAGGGTGGCAACTGTATCGTTAGAAATTTAACGCCGTAACCCAAAAAGGATTAAGTTGACCAATTTTTTTAAAAGTTGGGCCCGTTTTGAATATTTTAAAAAAGGTAGGACAATTATGAACATTTCCCTTCTTTCGAGGGACCGAAAGAGGTATTAAGCCAAAAAACAAAAACCATTGAGCAAGTTTTGCTTGCACAAGTGTCAGAATAAAAAATGTAATATGGAGGAGCAGAAGAGCAATTCAGAAAACAGACCTTTAAAGCGTTTTGGATAATCTGGACACCAATCTTCTGATCAAAGTTAGCAGTTTGAAGTTTATCCAACTCTTTTGATGCATATAGAAGAGCAACACCACCACCTAAAATACCATAACAAAATGAGATCAGATTTGATTCGTGATTGTAAAACTGATAAACTGTATGCACTGATATTTTACCAGGTACTATGCCCTCTTCAACAGCAGCCTTAGTTGCATTCAAGGCATCTGTCACCCTATCCTTCTTTTCACCAACTTCGGCTTCGCTGGCTCCTCCAATCTGTAAAAAGGTATTTTTCAAATGTTACTTTTGTCATCGTAGAACCTCAGTGGGATTTTCACCCCAGACAAACCATTATACAAGATGACATAAGTAGGTATACCTTGAGCACTGCAACACCACCAGAAAGCTTGGCCAATCTTTCCTGTAACTTTTCCTTGTCATAATCTGAGGTGCTATTTTCAATTGCTGACCTAATCTGTTTATAAAAAGTCATAACAAACAAGTCAGATGTGCCATTAAACCTGACATGTCGACTGGACATAGAATACATGTATAATGGGAAAACCAAATCTATTGATCAACTCAGTCAAACCTGTTCGCATCTTTCCTCAATTGATTTCTTGTCACCAGCTCCATCAAGAATGACAGTGTCATCCTTAGAAATTGTTATCTGCAACAATGAGAACCTAAGTGAGCAGCCCATACTAACCCTATGTACTTCCATCATAAGAACAGAGAACACAACAAAACTATACACCAATATCAAACAAGAGAGTTGCTACAGGAAATTCAACATCCTCAATCAGAACCAGTAAACAACATCAAAAGTTCTACACATTCAAATGTTTTACAAATAAAGCTAAATTCCTACTCTTTTGCAAGTGCCAAGCATATCCAAGTCCACTTTTTCAAGCTTCAAGCCAAGTTCTTCAGTGATAAGCTATTGGGATACAGAAAAGGTATCATTAATAAGTAAACAAAATAAGATTTAATGCAGCAGTAACCTCAAAACAGTAAACTTACTGCTCCTCCTGTTAGAACTGCAAGATCTTGAAGAGCGGACTTCCTATTTTCACCAAAACCAGGGGCTTTAATAGCGCATACCTACAAGCAAAGCTTCATATATCAACTACACAAAACTAACAATCCAAATTTTAGGAACCTGAAGCCAAGCAGGCAATACAAACCTTAATTCCAGCACGAAGCTTATTTAGAATAAGTGTTGCAAGTGCATCACTTTCAACATCTTCAGCAACAATTAACAATGGTCTTTGTCTCTAGAAATGGGAGTAGGTGTCAGTCAGCCAATATCAATATTTTAAAAATCAGATGCAAAAGAAAGTGAATGATACTTCTCACCTTCAAAGCTAACTCTAAAACTTTAACTACAGCATTTATACTTGAGATTTTCTTCTCATGGATTAGAATGAGAGGATCCTCAAGTTCCTGTAGGCACAAGACATGCATGGTAAGTATATAAAACAAACAAAGATTCATGAGCAAGGGATTTCAAAGACTGCTGTAAATAATCTAATGCTGTGAAGTACATAGATAAGAAAGAACATACACATTTCTGGTTCTTATCATTTGTTATAAAATAAGGAGATATGTAGCCCCTGTCAAGCTTCATTCCTTCAACAACCTCCAACTCATTATATAAAGTTTTGCCATCCTGAAATAGTTCCATGATCAAGGTTTGTCAGCTAGAAATATAAAAGGAGTACAAATTCAAAACTAAACAACCCTCATGCTTATTTCCACAGAGAAAAGTAAAACAGCAAAAATAAAAATAAAAATCTTTCCACAAGTAAAACGGACATGTAAAACACCAATAAATAGCATGATCAGATCAAAACTTACTGAAATTGTGATGACTCCCTCTTTGCCAACTTTCTCCATAGCTTTGGCAATCAGCTCACCAATTTCTCGCTCTCCATTAGCAGATATTGTCCCAACCTGTCAATTCCAATTCAAAACTTAAGTCCATGTTAGTATCTCCTGCAATGTGCAATGAAAGATTCTAACAAAGTGGTTCCACAAACCTGTGCTATTTCTTCAGATGTGCTAATCATCCGAGCTCTGCTTTTCAAGTTTGTTACAACAGTGTCAACAGCCATACTTATACCACGCCTCAGGTCCATTGCATTCATTCCAGCTGCAACTGATTTGCAGCCTTCAGTAAATATGGCTCTTGTAAGGACCGTGGCACATGTGGTTCCTTCAAAACAATTAAAATCCTCCCTCATTATTCAGTAAAATTGAAATTGCTAAATAATAAAAGCATGCTAAATATCAGTGTACAGCCTTCTAGCATCTACCATGTCCCAATATGATGATAACATGCTAGATATATCAGCTTACCATCACCAGCCACATCATTAGTAGCATTAGCAACCTGCTTTACGAGACTGGCGCCAACATTCTTAACTTTATCCTTGAATTCAATGCTCTTTGCAACAGTTACTCCATCTTTAGTTACTTTAGGGCCACCAAAACTTTGCTCAATAACCACATTACGCCCCTTAAAGAGAATAAACTCAACATTAATCAACTATTGAACAATAGCAATACCTCAAAACAGACTAGCATTAATATCGTTCATTCTTTTGTCAAATAGTGGTTTTGTCCCTCGAAAGAAATAAGTTGACTTCATAAACAAATGAGATTGCAGCCACAATCATACAGAAGTGACATTCCTTCTACCCCATGTTAACATCAACAATGAATGTAAGAAAACAACAAACTCAAGAAGCAAACAAACAATCCACTTGGTTACCTTGGGACCCATGGTTACTTTGACAGCATCTGCAAGCTCTTCAACACCCTTAAGCATCAGAGCCCGAGCCTCCACACCAAATTTAATGTCCTTAGCCGCATAATTTCGGCTCCAGCTCAACGTACTCCCAAGCTAAATCATGCAGCAAAAGAAAACAGACAAAAAAGGAACAAAGACTAAGGATTGACCCACACAAATCTCCAAAAATAAAATCTCATTCTCAAATGCGAACGTTACAATACTAAAAAGAGTGTCATTAAATCATTAGAGTTCCACCTGTTTGCTGCCACTCCTAGCAATCCTGCAATCAAAGAAACAGCAATTCAAAGTCAAAACAAAATCCCCATCAATCCCAATCAGGTGCTAGCCTCCAAACCCACAAAGTAGCACCCAACATGTAAGAAGCAAACACATAATACCCAATGAGATAATAATTAAAAAAAGAAATCAAATTTTGATCCATTTTGCAAAAATTTCTATTACCCAAAGGAACAATTTGACTTCCACACAACACAGGAATAAAAAAGAACAAACAAAAGCAATAGTGGATGGGAGGGTGACCTTGCTTTGGAGGCGAGGCTAGAAGCAAAGCGATACATGATGCGAATATGAAAAATGAAGATAGACAGTAAAGAAAATGCAGGAATGGAGCAGCTAGTGCAAAGGCAAAGTTTTAAATGGAGAGAGTGTGCGTGGGGTTTATGAAAAGAAAGAGAAGGGTCTGGAAGAAGCGGCTTCGTCTACTAGGGTTTAAGCCATCAACCCCCACACTACACGTTCAGTTCATGAAATTTTTATTTTGAATAATTAAATTGAAATATTAAAAAATAAATAAATAAAAACTAGAGTTTGTATGTTTGCATCACAAAACACATGTTAATTATTTTTCATATTAATTTCAAAGTATATTAATAAAAATTATAATAATATTTAAAATGTTGATTTTGAAAATATTTAATATGATAAATGATTTTTCAACTTTTCTCTTTAAATAATCATATTGATGAAAAAAGATATATATGATCCTATAATTCAATACCAACTTGCGAATAAATATGAAAAATGAAGTTGTTGTAAAACTCATTTACATTAAAAGAAATTGAATAAGATATAGAAGAGACTGAAATATAATGATCGCACATGTTTTTTTTAAGGATTAAATATGTTTTTAGTCCCTTATCTATCAAGCGATTTTGTTTTTCGTCTCTATTTTAAACTTTGTACGATTTGATTACTCTCCTTAAGAAAACCATAATTTTTGGTCCTCCAAAAGAAACGGCGTTGAAAATCAGATAAGGTGGCTAACGGTGGTGTGTCACGTAATATTTTCATGTTTACTCAGCCGCTCAACATCCATAATGATTAAACACTCATCCAGAGCGTCCCTTTGAACCTCTGCTTCTCTCCCTCCCTCCATCTCTTTCCTTGCATCTTCGTCTCTGTCCACCGCCCCAACCTCCGTCCCCATTCTCGACCGCTGTCTTCCACGTTGAAGATCACTCTCCATGGTTCTTCCGCTGGAATTTCATAAGTATAGTTTTTTTTCGGTTCTCATCTCGCAGATCTCGTAAATCTCGCAGATCTCACTGACGCCTGAAAACAAAAGCTTCATTCTTTCAAAATTTATTTTTATTTTGTTTTTTTTTTCCACCGAGAATCAGGAATAGGGGAGGAAAGGGGAAATTTTAGAAAGTGGAGGCAAAGGGTTTTGTCACTTCATCTTCAGTCAGGGGAGGGGCTGGAGCCATAGCTGGTGGCAAGAGAGATTTATCCATGGCTTGCAAAAGGCCACGTAATGATGAAGGTTTTGAAAACAGACAGACTCATTTCACTTATTATTTCTACTTTTGACATGCCACAAAGGAGAGAAATTGAGCTTCTTCTTCTTGTCAACTCCAAGCCTCAGACGGAAATTTTCTTCCATAAGAGGAAGACCATCCCTCAACTTCACCTTTGGCTCCCATCCCAACAATTCTTTTGCTTTTGTTATGTCTGGTTTTCTTTGTCTCAGATCATCAGGAGTGTTCTCCACCATCTTGATTTCAACATAAGGATTGATAAGCTGCAACCACTCACAAAGCATTAGATGAAAACTTCTAGCAAATGTATTCAAACCCTGCACATAAATATAGATGATGATGTATTATTGATTTGGTACTATGGACATGTTGTTCTACTCCAGGAAATAGCCAGATATGGGCAACCAAGGATCCCAAGCGACATTTTACTACTCACAGCTTGAACTTAATGAAAGCAAGCGTGTGAAATGTAAATGTACCCTGGTAAGTAACTGGGGGCAGAGAAAGTAAACATACTTTCTCAACTAAGGAACTAAGTAAACATACCGTTAGCCACGTCATATTAAATTTAACGGTGTTAGTTTTGGAGGACAAAAAATTATGATTTCTTTAAGGAGAGGGATCAAAGCGTACAAAGTTTGAAATAGGGACGAAAAGCAAAATCGCTTGATAGTTGAGGGACTAAAAACATATTTAACTCTTTTTTTAATAAAAGAAATATTTCTCTTTTGTTTTAATACATAACATATTGAAGTGCGAAATAAATTAAATTATAAATAAAATATGAAATATAAATTTAGTTTCTTTTGTTATCTCATTATTATTTGATATGGTTACAAAATTCTTGCAAAATACTTTATTCTTTAATATATGTTGTTGTGGTTTATAAGTTATTCAGTTACTTATGATGTATTATTTTAGATCTTTAGCTTTGAAGTGGAAAACTCTTATATCAATTATAAGGAGAGACAACAAATACATAATATTTCCACATTGATAAGATATTGTTCGTGTTGGGTTATGTTATTATGGATTTATATTTGATATCACTTACTAAAAGAAATATTTTATGTATATATAAATTCATATTCATCTCTTGTTTTATTTTATGTGAGACTTTGTTTGTATTCTAACGTATCCAAACCTGATTATTAAACTATACTTAAACACCACATATAGTAAAACAATTTCGATAAAAATTAGTACAATATATCTTATCACTTGTTCATTATATCATCTAATGACTAGTCCATCTATACTATACACATAAAAAAACATTATTTTTGAGGTTGAAATTATAATAATCTAACTTATAATATAAATAAAAGATACGAAAGGTAACACTAAAATAATAAAATAAGACTTTTTTAACCAATATATTATCCAATATGATGAATTTTAGCAAAAAGTTTTGCATCAAATTAAATTAGAACATAATCTAAAGACGTGTCACGCATATGGATGTCAAGATAACAAATATAATTAGTAGATTAGAGAAAAAAAAACAAAATGGAAAAGAAGTTCTTATATATATATATATATATATATATATATATATATCAATTTCCTCAATCAAACACACACCCACCCACTTATTCTCTTATTTCCAACAGAGATATAATTATCAAAATAGACAGAATTTAAAAAAGATACCCAAAAGCAAGTCAAGCTTTAAAGCATGACTTTATTTTGTTTATTTTTTTTATAATTTTTGAAGTTGTGTTTGTATGTAAGTTTTAAATTTTCTTCCTTATTATTAAAAAAAGTGTTTGAACAGTGACATGTAAGTTGAAGTGAAATAGTAATTATACAGGAAGGATTTGATTTTCAATTTCAACATAAAATTGATTTTTTATCGATCAGATGGGAAACTGGTTACAAAAATACTTTTTCCAAATATTTATTTTTAATAAATTTTAAAAAATATAGAGTATCTGAAATAAAAAAATTCCTCAAGACTCATAAAGCAACAAGGTTTTCCTCCATTTCAAAATTTAAAATGAAAAATTAGAAAATAAAATTAGAATTTTGAAGTATATAAGGGTGCAGATTGAAATTATGGAAGTGCAGATAGAAGCTTGGACCTATTGTACGTTGTGGGCTGGGATAAGGTCCAATAAAACGGATTGCTTTGTAGGACTATCCACTTCAGGTTCCGACTCGAATGTAAAACCCGAATCTCTTTCGGTTTCCCTTTACACACTGAAACAGAGAGAAGAGATTCGCGTGCTTGATTGTTATTACTGTTTCTGTATTCCACACAACGAGTGTCGGAGGAGAGGAGATCGGAAAAAGATGACGGAGGCCTATATAAGGAACAAGCCAGGCATGGCGAGCGTGAAGGACATGCCGGTTCTCCAGGACGGTCCACCGCCGGGCGGGTTCGCACCGGTCCGGTTCGCTCGCCGCATCCCTAACAAGGGCCCAAGCGCTATCGCCATATTCCTCGCTACATTCGGAACATTCTCTTGGGGCATGTACCAGGTCGGCCAGGGCAACAAGATCAGAAGGTTCTTCTCTTCTCTTTTCCATCGGTTTTTCTTCTTTTTGATTTAATTCTCTATGTTCGAAATCTTTCTAGCAATTAAAGTTTTTACATTCTGTATGAGGAGTGAATTCCATTGTATTCACCTGTTTTGTAATGTAATCCAGGAATCATCTTAGGTTTCCTCTTTCTGTTTTCGTAATATTATTTCTTTAATTTCATGTGTCGTTACTTTTGTTATTCCTTCTCCTGTTGGTGTTTATAGAGAAGCTTATTTGAACAGATGCCATAATCATTTTGCTTCTTTAGAATGTTTCCGTATCATGATCAAGGTTTAGCTTATGAGAGAAACTTGTTTAGTTTCTCCTTCTACTGATGTTAATGGATAAACTAGTTCAAACAAAACCTTTTTAGTGTTTTTGTGTCACTTTATAATTGTGCATCCTATTGCCAATTACATATTCTCAATTATAATATTCAGTTATCGTTGGCTATTGTTCTATTTTTTTGTATTTGTCCATGATTCTTTAACAGCATCTATTAATACAGAAATTTATATTTTTAAATCTTACAATTGGAAGTGTTGTCGACAAATTCTGGGATTTAATTGAGCATATGAGCTCGTGATCTGTTATTCGAGACTATTATGAATCATTTGACTTGTAGATTTAATTGTGGCGTTGGATTATTACTGTAGGAATCTGCTTCTTTGCTAGGAATTTAGATTTGTTTACTGTAATTGAATTTGAGTGAAATTATGTTAACTAATTGTCCCGTTGTTGAGGATCATCCTTGCAATTGACGTTTGTTCATTCTGTAGGAGTACTGATTCCATTTTGTATTCAACAGTTAGTGTTGTAGTTGTTATCGCTGATTTCATTATATTATTTATTTATTTCAATTACTTGTGGCTGTTAAACCATTTTTACAGCAAGACGGCTTGGGTTACTACTTGACCTAATTTTTTAAATCAATAGGTGTTCATAGTTTTAGTGCTTTTCGTAAAGCAATTTAGAACACCTGGAATAACTTCTATGAAAGTGTTTTTGCCATAAGCAGTGGTCTTCCTTGATTCTTTGGCAAAGTCAACCAAATGGTTCACTTCCAGTTTTATAAAGGGAAACCTTAGTAAAATGTTGCACAACTTTACTTGACGCCAACCTCTTGATGTAATCATACGACCCATTGGTAACCTCCAAATCATATTCTAATTTGAGGTTGGAATGAAAGAACTCTAGATACAAGCCATTGGTAACATCATCGTATTTACTTTCGTTCTTATTGAAAGACTTCATAGGTCTTCTCCATTGCTTTATAGATATAGTCAATAGTTGTTTTTCTTTTCCCATCTACAAGATGTAATACATGACCAAGAGGAACTGTGACTTTGAGAGTAAAATCCACATTACTCCAAACGCGGAGGCAGAATGATAGGCCTCAGGACTTTGAGAGCAATTGTTAATTTATGAATCATAAAGAGGGATAGATTTTTC